CGGAGGTGTCGGCGGAGAGCCATCTGCGTATCTCACAGGTCACGGGAGCTGGGTGAGGTCTGTCAGGGCCTCAATTGGCTCTATGATCGTGCGCGGAGCCCCCGTCGCGGGCCCGTCCGCGGTCGGCGAGATCAAGCTTTTGTTTTCGGATCGCGTTGCAGAGCAGCCGCCCGCCCCACCTTCGTCGCGCGGGGGGGGGGGGGGGGCGTTCGAGAGCTCCTCCAGAGCAAGTGTTGCCGCGACCACGCGGCCTCCACAGTCGTCGAGTTTAATCGCCGCCTCGTCTCATTGCCTGATGGCATCCAGGACAAGAATGCTATCCAGGATTTGTTTTCGCGGGGGGGTGGTGCGGTCGCTGTGAGCTTTAGAGAGAGCATGGTGAGAGATGTGAAGGAAGCGATGAAGTTGAGACAGCTTGGCGGAGATCGCAAGTCGCACTTCGCCATGAGCACGCAAGGTTTTTGAAGACGCTGCGCGCTCTATGGGCCGATCGGGAAGCCACCTGCGCCCAAAAAAGACCGCGGCCCCGTTCCCCGCGCAGACAAAAGGGATGGACACCAACGAATTATCCTGGACGCCAGAAGGACACATTCATGGTTCAGAGACCCTCCTCGCACCATTTTGGCCACACCGACAGCATCGCGAGGTTGGAGGTGGAGGAGGGTTGTTTCGGGAGGCTTCTGGGATGCAGTCGTTTCTCGCGGTCGAAGATAGGGGGGGGGAGGGGGGGGCTCGTGATTGGCGAGACGAGCCCGCAGATTTCATACGTCCATGTAGACGACGTAGGTGTATTAGGGGGCGACGAGACACAGGTCAATAAGTCCTTTCATAATGTCAGCATAGTTCTGCATGCGAACAAGATGAAGTGCCGCGAGGTCCAGGAGGCAGGCCAGGTTCGAGAAGCCCTGGGCATCGAGTTCAACGGGTCTTGGGAGGGTCCCGACCGTCCATGAAGAGATGCCGGCATAGTCGCCTTGCCCTTGAAGCGTTCTTGGAGGCCCCGAAGGCATCGGGAGAAAAAAAAAGACTGGGGGTTCTATTGGGCCATTGTACCTATCTGGCTATGCTGCAACGCCCGCTTCTTTCCTGTTATGCTCCGGTCTATAAGTTTGCTCGGCAGTGTCGGACTCCCGGGTGCCCGTTTGGGCCGCGGCTCGTGCTGAGCTCACGGCTGTCTTGTCTTTCATGCCCCTCATGCGTTCGGACTGGAAGCGCAGCTGGATGGATGAAGATGTCTCTTATGATTCTTGTCCTGAGGGAGCTGGCGCTGGCGTTGCTCGCGGAGACGCGCAGTGGACTTCGGCGCAGGGGCGGGCGCGGGAGAGGGCTCGATTTGCGCGGAGTTGCGCGGAGAGATGCCGCGCAGGCTCGCGGTCATGGTCTGTCTTGTCTCGATCTTGATGACCCATTAGTGTTCGTGGTCCCGCGGCCGTCTGTGGGGGCGGCTTCGGTGCTCTGGCAGCAGAGCCCCGCGTTTCCTGAGGTTCCGCTTGGAAGCCTGACTGGGAAGGATTGGGAGGTTCTCTTTTGTCACTGTTGAAGAAGGAAGATGGCGGCTCACGGAGGTGAAGCCAGGGCGAGGGTGTTGGGTGTCTGCAATTCCCTGCTCGCTCCTCGGGTTCATGGACGTCGCCTCCCGGTTCTTAGAGGCAACTTGGGTTTCGTGCTCAGTTTTGCAAGACGCGTGGCTGCCTTGTCCCTCGCCAGGACATGTCTTGGACTTTCGCTGGTTTCCGAGCGAGTTCAACATTGCAGATGAGCCGTCGAGACGACCTGAGTTGCGCCGGGAAGATTTGCTCGAGTTCGGGGTTGCTCCGGGGGCAGGCGGCTGGCGCGAGTGTATTCTGCGGCCGTTTCGTTCGACCATGAGGCTGTTCCACGTTCTACATATTTGAAAGAGCGTGTTCTACCGCTAGTGGCGGGAAACCGGAGGGGGGTCACTACCGGTTCGACCCCCCCCCCGGGAAAACCGGGGGGGGAACTGCCGGTTCGAACCCCCCCCCCTCAGTTCATCATGAAAAGGGAGGGGGGGTCATTGCCGGCTCGAACCCCCCCCTTCGAAAACCGGGGGGGTCACTGCCGGTTCGAACCCCCTCCCCCCCATACCCCACTCTCGAAAACCGAGTGGGGGTGCGGACAGTGGTGGGGACGGTGGTGGTGGGGACAATGGCGAGGAGACAACGGGACAGTGGTGGGGACAGTGGGACAATGGTGGGGACGGTAGTGGTGGGGACAGTGGTGAGGACAATGGTGGGAACAGTGGGGACAGTGGACAGTGGTGTGGGGACAGTGGGAATGAGGTGGAAACAGTGGGACAGTGGAGGGTACAGTGGTGGTGGGGACAGTGGTGAAGGCGGAAGCGAGGACGGCGGTGGGACAATGGGACAGAGGTACAGTGGGGACAGTGGTGGTGACAGCGGGGGCAGTGGTGGGAACAGTGGGACAGCTCAGTGGGACACCGGAGGAGTCAGTGGGACACTGGGGACAGTGGGGATAGTCGGGCAGTGGTTGGGGCCGTGGAGAAAGTGGGGAGAGTGGAACCGTGGTGGGAACAGTGGTGGGGACAGTGGTGGGGACAGTGGGAACAGCGCGACAGTGGTGTGGGCACTGGTGGGGACAGTAGAGAATGTGGTGGAACCACTGAAGACAGTGGTGGTGAGGACAGTGGTGCTGGGAACAACAGTGGGGGATGTGATGCGGACGGTGGTAGGGACCGGGAGTCGTTTGCTGGCGGCGGTGAGTGGGGTGGGAGTGGGGAGGGCCCGGCTTTCGAAACCGGTTGTAGTGACCCCCCACTCTGGTTTTCGAGGGGGGGGGGGTTTTTTATTTTTTGTTTTTGTCGAAACGGTATGTGACCCCCCCCGGCTTTCGAGGGGAGACAGAGGAGGGAGGAGAGGGAGGGGGGAAGAGGGGTTAGGCGGAGGGAGGGGGGGGGGGCGGGGTGGGGGGGGGGGGGGGGGGGGTGAGTGGTGGGGGGGGCGGGGGGGCTTTTGGGGGCTTTCTTCTTTTGTCCGTGGGCGGGTGTGGGGGCGGGGCTTTTTTCGCCGGGGGAAGGGGAGGTGAGCGGGGGGGTGGGGTCCACAGCAAAGGGGGGGGGGGATTTTCGGAGGAGGAGTGGGGGGAGGAAGAGGGGGAGCAATTTACTGAATAGGAGGGGAGCGCCGACGCGCCTCTGCATTAATTTTGTTTGGATTGGGCCTTTTACGCGATCTCAATCCTCGGTGAGGAAGGCGAAACGAGTCCCCGAAGCAGTCGAGCGAGAGGTTTGGGCGCTATTTCGCCGGGCGGATCCTCAGTCCTTCGAGGGCAAGTGGGCGGCCACCGCGCAGAAAAGGCGTGGCCAAACTCCATTGCCCATCCAGCTCGAGCACGCCCAGGGGCAGCCGTTCGGGTGGACTCGGGCGGCGCGACCTCGGAGGATGGCGGCCCGCTCGCGGGCAACATAATCCTGAAGCGCAGGCAGCACCTTGCGAATGTGGCCGAGGAGCCAGGCACGCAACACGTTTCGCTTCTAGAACGAAGCTCGGTGGGAGAGCGAACTTAGACTCGGCATCGCAGGCTAGATCGAGGTTTTGTCGACTACGTCGAGGGGCGCAGGCTGCCGACGGACAGGGTGCAGGATTTCGACGTGGCCATCGTCGCCTTCATGACCTACATGTACCCGCTGGGGTGCGACGCGGGACAGGGCCAGAAACTGATCGCTGCGACGGTGTTTTCCTGCCCCGTTTCGGCTAGCTTGGCGACCCGTCGGTGCCGAGGGCTTGGAGGGCGGCCAGTAGGCCAGGCTCTATGATGCAACTCACGAGGGGTTCGCCGGTGGATCCCGCGCTGAAGGTGGACTCCCTCTGGCGCGTGCTGGCCCGCCGTTCCGACCTCCTCCAGGTCTTGAAGGTTGGCGCGCGCGACGATGCGATTCCGTGGAGCGTCAAAGGGCCCGAATGGATGAAGGATATGTCCCAGGTGTTGCCAGTTGGCAAGAGAAGCGAGAGAATGTGGGAGTTCACCTACCCAGAGCTGGCCAGAGATATTTGAAAACAAGGGTTGCTGCTGGTGCAAAATGATTTTCCTTACCAACTTCGGCATGCAGGAGCTTCGTGGGATATTGACCGACAGTAGAGACACCTTTTTAATGTGCAGCGACGCGGTGGATGGATATCGGCGAAGTTTGTTCAGCGCTGTGCGCAATTTGGCATGCTGGTGAAAGGCTACGCCATACTTCCTTTGGCGTTGCGCACGTACATGGAGGAACTGGTGCTTGATTTGAGAGAGGTCTTTTTGCTGGCCAAAGCCGTCCCTCTGCCTCCCCCTTTTCCGCTCAATTTCGGTTGCAAACATCTCCCCAACCGTCCATGTCCGTCGAAGTAGCCTACACATCTGATTTGGGTGTGATATGTGGGAGGAGCGCGGAGATCCTTCCCCATGCATAGCATGTGCAAACAGTCACCTTGTGGCGCTGCTGGCATCAGATCATACAGAGCTGAAACAGAGCGGGCGGGGATCATGTGAGTTCTACGTGAATTATCAAAGCACGCTTGTACATTGTTTTTCGGCTCCCCGTTGCCTGCCCAATGCCATTTTCATTTTTTCAGATTGGTTGAGGAGCGCCGAGACCCTTTCCCAAACATAGCACGTGCAAGCAGTGTCTGTGTGGCGCTGTTGGCACCAGATCCTAAATAACTGAAAACAGAGCGGGCGGGGCTCCTCCTCCTGTTTCTTTCGTTCCACCTTTATGGTTAGCTCTCTGTTCTTTTTGTGTTTGTCTTTGCTTCGGCTGTGTTTGTCCTGTCTATTCTGCCCTATCTCCGCCTCCCCCCGTCCTGGCTGGTCTTTGCGCCTATCCCTTCCTTTTCCTCCTCCTCCTCCTCCTCCTCCTCCTCCTCCTCCTCCTCTTCCTCCTACTCCTCCTCCTTCTCCTCCTCTCCCTCCTCCTCCTCCCCTTCTTCCCCCCCCTCCACCTCCCCCTTCCTGGGCCCGGTCCTTCCCCTGCCACCTTGCCCCAGGCAGCCGCCATCGCGCGTCAGGCCGAGCGGGTGCCGCGCCGGGCGGCGCCCGTCGAGGGCGTGGTGGCGCACCTGGGCCGGGGGGCGAGGATCGCTCGGGAACGTCGGGGGGCCCGGGGGCAGGGGGTGAGGCGAAGAAGGAAGGAATAATGATACAAGTGCTAACAATAAGAGCAATAGTAATATACTTATAAGAATAAAAAGAAGACGAAGGACGAAGACGAAGACGAACAAAAAGAAGACGAACAGGTTAAAAACGCAGACGGATAATGATGAACATAAAGTAAGAAGAACAAACGATAGAAACATTACGATACATGAGGCCATACAGATAAACTTTTGGCGCTCCGCGCGGTCTTCTTGGATCCGCGCTGGCCCCCCCCCACCCCCCCGGCGGCGCCTCCAGCGCAGCCCTTGGCGCCGGAGGCGTCGGGGGGGGGGATTCGAACGCAGCCTCCGAGCGACCGCGCCTGCTAAGGGCGAATGACTCGAAGCGCTGCTGGCGCTGGGGCGCGCGAACGAAGCAGTCACCGGGGCCCCAGCGCCTGCGCCAGCGCCACTCGGAGGAAACGACCCCGCACAGGGTGGGAGGGACAGGGGTGCGGCAGGCATGACGTTCGGGGAGGTCGGGGGCGAGGACGTTCGGGGAGGTCGGGGGCCCCGGGGGGTGAAGGGAGGGGGGATTCGAAGACGAAATGAGGCCATAAGCGTCGCTCCGCGCGGAGCGCCAAAAGTTTATGTTTATGCGGTTCGTGCAGTCGTCGTCGTCTTCGTCGTCGTCATCGTCATACTCAGCGTCGCCATCATCGCCAGCATCAGCATCACCATCATCATCATCATCATCATCATCATCATCATCATCATCATCATCATCATCATCATCATCATCATCATAATCATAATCATCATCATCACCATCACCATCACCATCACCATCATCATCATGATCAGCTGCATCAGCATCAGCATCATCGTCATCATCATCATCATCAACATGATCATCCTCATTATCAAGATCATCATCATCATCGTCGTCGTCGTCATCATCATCGGCAGCTGTTTTTCGTGGAAGACGACCCTAGACTGATGGGGTTCCACTGCACCCATACCCAGGTGTGCCAAAAATGATTGGGCTGCGCATGCGAGTTCGTGCGAGTTTGGGTTCAGCTTCAAGGAGTTACGCTGGGGCTTGAGTTTTGTTTGTCGTCCCGACGTCTCCGAGTGGTGCCGGGCAAAGGGGCCGCTCGGAACCCACGAATGGTCTTTTGCCAGGACAGGATGGGGGATGAGACGCTATGTCACGTTGGTTAATGATTTCCGGGAGGAGGTTAGTCTCGCGCTGTTCAGCCGCGCGGTCCCCAAGACGCCGCTGTTTCAGGCATCGCCCCTTTGCCAGAGAGCTTTCGGCGGCCGCCGAGGCTGGCGTCAAGAGTGCTAGACTTATGCTATGATGTGGTCAGATCGCCCATGCGATCGAAGCGCGTTAGCGCGCCCGAGCGCGATTGTCTCGAGTCATTGGTGTGCGGTGCGATTTGGACACCTCGGCGACCGCTTCAGCTGAGCGCGCGCTTTGCAGTCAGCTCGCCGACTCTGAGCGCCGCCGGCTGTGGGGCGCCCTGCGCGCCAGACCGAGCCGCGAGGAGACTGTTGATGTGGGGCTCGCTCAGGAAGCCTGATCGGTGCAATCAGAAGATGAGGTTTCCCTTTTCTCTCGAGGTCTGTCTGTGCACCCTGGCGGTGTTCGCCCTCGGGCTCCTGCTGCCGGCTCTGCGTGATTCACCTGGGTCGACTCGTCTGGGGTGGATGTTGACACTGGAGGGGGTTGTTCGTGAACGGCGGCTGCGGCAGGCACATCATTCACGATCTCGACATAGCGGGTTGGGGGAAGTACGACTCGCTGGCCAAGGGGGTTTTGTTGATGAAGGTGTGGTCCCTGCCCCAGCCCCTTGTAAGCCTCCCCCCACGTTGGGGAGTTCCATGTTGTTGCAATTGGGGCCCTGCAGGTCATTGGCCCCTCGGGATTGTTCGGCTTGTTTCGTTGTGGTTAAGCGGCGCACAGGCCATGTTAGCGAACAACTTGCGCATTGCAGTCCCTATCTGGGAATGTCTCAGTTGTCCAGCAGGGCCTTGCATGAGTTCTAGGGGTCCACAAAGTGAAGACCCAGGGCGGGAGTTGTTACAAGAGTGATGGTAAAGGCGTTGCATCGACCATGCCGATAGTGCTGCAACGATAGTAGCCTCCATGCACCCTTGGTGGAGCGACGCAGACTATGCAGCCTTGGCCAAGATGATCATAGTTTCGAAGGCTGTGTTTAAGCTAGCTTGTGCTCTGCTGCCTCTGTGGCGTATGCTTCATATCGGGGACGTGCATCTTGAAGCTGGACCTGGTCGGACCCCGAAGGCCCCGAGGGGCTTTCAGAAAGCCGCAGCTATCCGACATGGCAAGCATATAGCTGTTCCTGCTGCCGAGAAAGACATGTGTGCGTTATGCCATCAAGTAACTAGGAAGAAACGCATAACTGAAGCTTTTGATTCTGAACGCAGCAGTGTAGCAACTCTGGGTGCCCAGGTTGCCACGGGAAGCGAGATGTGTCGGGTCAGCGGGGAGGTTCAGGGAGGTATTTTTTTCGATGCCAGTTACTAGCTCAAGCGCTGCCCGAAGCATCAGTTATTCTTAATGCTTCGCGTATCTCCACCAGCGTTGTTTAGATTACGCCGCTCTAGTTTGCTCCTGTTTTAATTCGTAGGCCCGCGCCCCGGACTTACGACTCGCCGCTTGCGCCTCGCCTGCGGCTGCGACCAAAAAAATATCCCCACCAGCACTTCACGCACTGGTCCGTGGTGACCCGCGCCATTTTGGCTGCGTGGCAGCTTTGCTGCCTCCCGCGTTCGTGCGTTCTGCTGCCTCGGGGCTATGCGGCTACGGCCACCCTGGGATTTCGCAGCCTGCCATCGCTCTCGGCTCGTCGCGGCTTTAGTTATTTGACCGACGGTCCTTCGGGCCACCCTGGTACTCACGCAGTTGTCCGGGGTTGCGTCCTTGCATCCATTTCGGCTTCTGGCCCGGGTCGTCGTGTGTCCCAATTCCCTGGTTTTCCCGACGCTATGCATACTTGCACGCTGGCAGTACGACTCAGTTTCAGCTGCCCCCCCACTCGCCGGTCTGCCGATGAGCTGCTGCGTGAGGGCTCGGTTAGCCGCTGTAGGTGTGGCCACCCTCCGTCGCTTTAGTTTAATTTGTCGCTGCGTGCCCCGCTTTGACTGGACTCGCCGCCGGCGCGCTCGCCCGCGGCCGCTGACTAAAAAGTATCCCCACCAGCCAGCCCCCTCCACTCGCCGGTCCGCCGCTGAGGTGCTGCGTGAGGCTCCGCCTAGCCGATTTAGGTGAGGCTGCGCCCCGCTGCTATTGGTGAATTTGTCGTTGCGCGCCCCGCTTTGACTGGACTCGCCGCAGGCGCGCTCGCCTGCGGCCGCTGACTAAAAAAATAGCCCCACCGGCCCATTATGAAACGATGCCCATGAGAGCTGACGGGCCGAGAGGAGAGACACGATGAAGGGGATTTGGGCTTCTTGGTGGCCTCCTGGGGGGGTTCCGTGGCCATCTTCAGCCGTCTTAGAGCGGTTTTGGGGCCTCTTGGGGCATTTTGGGAGCCACCTTGAGCCAGCTTGGACTATCGTGAGCCATTTTGGAGGTCATGTTCGGCTCTCTGAGGCCGCTCTCTGAGGCCGCTTGGGGGCCACTCGGGGGCCTCTCGGGGGCCTTTTGGGGCCCTTTTGGAGCCTTTTTGGGGCGCTCGTGGGACCCTCTTGGAGGCCTCTCGGGAGCCCTGGAGGGCCTCGGGGCCATCTTGGAGGCGGTCGGTCAAAAAAAGGACGGGTACTCCATGGTCGTTTCCACTCAGGGGCCATGATCCCCGTGAGGGGTCTAAATTGGCCCTCCCATTGGCCGAAACGGAGCCTCCGACACCTCGCGGCGCCGTTCAAAAAACCTCAGGGAGGGGAGGGGGAGGGTTCCCCTCCCCGAAGGGAAGAGGGATTGTGGAAGAGGGAAGAGACCCTCCTTAGACCACCTGTCGCCCAGAGGGCCAGAGGGCTGGTGGGATTGTTCTGCAGCGCCTGCGGGCGCACCGCCACTGTTGATCTTCGCCGGCTGGCAGCCCTTTGTCGGCTGCATAGTTCCAGGAAAACAAGAGAACTCTCTCGGGGGCCTTTTGGGGCCCTTTTGGAGCCTTTTTGGGGCGCTCGTGGGACCCTCTTGGAGGCCTCTCGGGAGCCCTGGAGGGCCTCGGGGCCATCTTGGAGGCGGTCGGTCAAAAAAAGGACGGGTACTCCATGGTCGTTTCCACTCAGGGGCCATGATCCCCGTGAGGGGTCTAAATTGGCCCTCCCATTGGCCGAAACGGAGCCTCCGACACCTCGCGGCGCCGTGGGAGGGGAGGGGGAGGGTTCCCCTCCCCGAAGGGAAGAGGGATTGTGGAAGAGGGAAGAGACCCTCCTTAGACCACCTGTCGCCCAGAGGGCCAGAGGGCTGGTGGGATTGTTCTGCAGCGCCTGCGGGCGCACCGCCACTGTTGATCTTCGCCGGCTGGCAGCCCTTTGTCGGCTGCATAGTTCCAGGAAAACAAGAGAACCTGGGCAGGATTAGCCGCGTGCTATTTCTTGGTCACGGCGGGCCATCCGTTGCGGCTGTGGAAGCTGAGGTCTCCAGAGCCAGGCGGGAAGATGCGACTTGTCGCTTTTGCCCGCCAGCTCTCCTGCATCAAGGCGAGCAGCCTCCGGTGTCCCATGATGGTCATGGCGGGGGGGATCTCGGGAGGTGTCGCCGCCTCAGTCCCCTCGCCAGTCGCGCCTGCATTGTACCACCACCGGCGGGCGCGGCACTGTACCTGCACCACCGCTGCTGCTTTCGTCGGGGTTGTCAGCTACGCCCAAGGGGCCAGGCAGACCCTGCGATATGTGGCCGAGCCTCTCCTTCCAAAACCCTTCCGTAGACCGCCCTAGAATTTCTTCAGACTCCAGACCCCTTACGCCACCCTGAGGCCTCATAGTTATTGCGTCCTCTCACCCTCCGTCCCTCGTTCTTTTGCCCTCTCCCAGACGGCGCGCAGACGGATGCAATGCCCAGTCCGACCGACGGGTCGCGTCCTCCCTCCTCCGACCTGGCGCCACCTCCGAGGGGGAGGGGAGGAGTACTTGGTGGCTCCAGGTATTCCTTCCCCCTCCCACCCTGCTTGCGCCGGGTGGTTTTGTCCTGCACGTCAGGATCGGGAAGGCGCTGCTGAGAGAGCTGAAGGGCGACGACTCCGAGGCCCGATGCTTCCTCCTGCGGCTGCTACCGCTCTTCCAGGAGGAGGAGGAGGCGGAGGAGGAGGAGCAGGAGCAGGAGAAGGAACTGCAGGAGGTGGAGCACACCGAGGGTGGATACGAGGACGGGGGAGGAGGAGGGGGGCGACGTCGAGAGTCTTCCAAGTATATAGATATATGTATATGCATATGTATATATATACACATATAGATGTGCATATGTACATATATAGGAATATGTATGTGTATATGTGTATGTGTATGTATATGTATATGTATATGTATATGTATACGTGTATGTGTATGTGTATGTATATTTATATGTATGTATATCTATGCATTGTGTAGATGTATGCCGGCCATCGATATTACAACACACCCTCCCGTCCCAAGCTCCAGATCCCAGCAAATCCATTTTTCACTACAAGAATCGCTGTCTTTAAACAGCGAGCACTGCATGAGCTCGCTTTTCAGGCCAGAGCCCTGTTTTAAAGACGAGGTGCGTTGTACCCTGCTAGCGAGTTGCGGTCAACACGCCACATACAGCGTGCACGGCCCCCCTTGAGGGACAAACAATTACTCGAATACCGTGCACGCTATACGCCAACTCCCCTGGTCAAAGCCACTTTGGCCACCGACTAAAGCGTGCTTGCACGATATACGTGTCTATGTTGCAAGCGGACGTGCACGCTAAACGTTTTTACGTTGGTGATATGTTTACATTGCCACGTGCACTCTGTACGATTACTATTCGGCTCACCTCTCCACTCCGTCCTTTACCCCCCCCCTCCTCCGAGCGACACGCTCGTATAGAGCCCCTCGGGGGGTGCAGGAAGAGCAGGAGAAGCAGGAAGAGGAGGCGGGGGAGGAAGAGGAGAAGGAGGAGGAGGAGGAGGAGGGGGAGGGGGAGGGGGAGGGGGAGGAGGAGTGGGGGAGGGGAGGAGGAAGAGGAAGAGGAGGAGGGGGAGGAGGAGAAGGAGGAGGAGGCGGAGACGCAAGATGGAGGGGGCGGAGAAGAGGAACGAGGCAGAGGTGGCCCGGGCCCGCGGAGGCCGAAGGGCCAAGTGTGGCTCCAGGGACTGCTGAGCCATTTCGACATTCTGAAAACACAGGTGCACTCTAAACGTTTTTTGCTCAGGCATCCGACGTGCACGCTAAACAAGTTTGTCTCGGCCATCGGACGTGCGCACTAAACGCGGCACAACCGCGTATAGAGTGCACCCCTTTTTCGACGTGCGCCCTGCACGACCCCCGAACAGCGTGCACATCAAAGTCACCACGTGCACGCTAGATGTGGCGTTCTCACCGCAGATGGAAGCCGACATGGTGGGATTATGCAGTTCATCGAGGTGCCCAGCGAGAGCCCCGCTTTGAAAGGGAGCCGTTGGAAAGGGAGCAGCCCCCCCTCGCATGTTGACTCAATTGGGCGAGTTCACAGCTCCGGTCGTTGCACTGAAACAATCGTGCGATAGCCGAGCAGTTCATTTGGGTGGAGGGCAAACGGTGAAATCTGAAATGCCGTTTCGATTGAGTTTCCAGGTTTCAATTTGCAAAAGATGAATCACAAGACGGATTGATTTTCGAGGTGCAACAGCCCATATGGATTTCACCCTGAGCCCTCCACCCAAAGAAAATGCTCAGGATAACCCAGCTTTAACAAAGAAATGCACTCCATCCGCTCAGTGTTTGCACATGTTCCTGCTTCTGGTCGCCAAAGTAAGCACGTTCCCAGGCGAGAGCCCAATCTGAAAATCGGGCCACCCTCCATCCGTGTAGCTGTTGTGCAGTGTTACGTTTGCGCTTTCTTCCCCGCATCTTGCGAAGGGTTCTTGTTTTCTCCACACGCCTCGCGCAATAACTTCACGCCCCCTTCTTTCATCATCGTCATCGTCATCAGAATCATCATCATCATCATCATCATCATCATCATCATCATCATCATCATCATCATCATCATCATCATCATCATCAGCATCATCATCCGCATCAGCATCAGCACCATCAGCAGCAGCATCACCATTATCACCATCATAATCATCATCACACTGATTCATTCACACACAATCACACATTCACTCAGACACCCCCGCGTTGATCTTGAGGCAGTCTCGAGCGGGAGCCTCGTTTATGAGTGCATGGCGAGGAAGTCTCGAGCGGGAGCCCCTCCCTAATGGGCCCCCGCCTCCATGTTCGAATCCGAGCGGATAACCGCAATGTCTGTAAGTGTCGTCGCTCTTGGACTTCTGAGACGTGGATATAGAAGAAGAAGAAGAAGGAGTCTCGAGTGGGAGCCTCGTCTGTGAATGAATGGCGAGGCAGATTCGAGCGGGAGTCCCCTCTATGGGGTCCCCGTCTCCATGCCCGAATCCGAGCGGGTCATCTGAATATTTGTGACTGTCATCATGCTTGGATTCCTGAGGGCTGACTATGGAGAATGTCTCGAGCGGGAGCTTCGTCTGGGAGCGAATTGCATCCTTCAGAAGTCTCGAGCGGAAGCCTCGTCTGCGAGTGGATGACACGGAAGTTTCAAGCGGCATCCCCCTCCCTGTGGGGTCCCCTTTTTTCCGAGTCCGAGCGGTCTTCGGAATATGCGTAATTGTCATCACTTTTGGGCTCCTGAGGCTTCAATATGCAGGAAATGTCGAGCGGGAATTTCGGCTGTGAGTGATTCGCGAGAAAGTCTCGAGCGGGAGCTTCTCCCAATTGAGTCCCCGCCCCCACATTAGAATCCGAGCGGGCCATCGGAATACTTGTGATTGCCGTCGCTTTCGGGCTCCTGGGGCCTGACTATGGAGGACGCCTCGAGCGGGAGCCACGTCTGTGAGCGAATTGCACCCTGAGGATGTCTCGAAGGGGAGCCTCGTCTGCGGAGCGGGAGCCTCTCTCTCGGGCCCCCCACTTCTCATGAGTCCGACCAACAGCTTAGCACGACCTTAGCGTATGTTGATGATCTCCTCGTTGGTCTGATGAGTGTGTTTGTGGATTTGGATCCGCTTCTCTCTTCAGTGGTGATGCTTCAGCGCACCGCCAATCTGAAGCTTAACTTCAAGAAATCGCAGATTGTGATTTGTTGTGGCACCGACTGCGCTCGTCTGTTGGCTGTGCTGGCGAGTTATGGCGACCCCTTCGACGAGATTCAGGTTGTCTCCTGAGGTCATGTGTGTTTCCAAGCTCCTGTTCCGCCTGCAGTTGTACCCGCCCGACAGTAGCACGATCCACCAATATCGTGAAGCTGTCATGAGACTGACCTCGGGGCCCCGCAACGCCATCTCTTACAACATCGCCACCCACCTCAGACCCCTGGGGTTTCGTATTGAGTTCGTTGATATCCTGGCGGTCTCTCGGGCTGCGAACAATCGTTATATGCTGAGATCACACAGGTCACACATTCTTTATGGCGTCTTGGAGGAATTGGGGGCGTATCGGAGGGAACTAGAGCATATCCCGTGCCCGTGGCATGCGGGCTGGAATACGGATTCTTTTCGCGTCCATGCTCGCAAAATGAAAGACTGGTTCTTCGGGCTTCATCTTGGGCTGTCTGCTGGTAATCCCGAAGATACAGCACAGACTTTACATTGCATTTCGTGCCCTGCAGCGCTCTGAGCCTGTGTGTGATGCACTTCTTCGCCGCGCCCGCCGCATTGATCACTCTGTCTTTGCTCTTACCATCGCCACCCTCGGCATTACCCTTCGGAAGATATGTCCCTGTACCTCTATGTGCGTTGGTATCGCCCCCCTGCGTATGATCACTGTTGCATATGTACTTCGGCGAGATTTTACTCGCCAGCGGCTGGCTTCCTTTTTGGCTGTGAAGCTGAGCCTGGAGTTGACTTCGACTCTGTCCGTCACTACTCGAAATGTCCCACAGTTGAGCAGACGATCGGGAAGTGGCTGGGGGATGCGATCTCGGTCAGAAAAGAGAATGTGAGTCACCATTGATTTTCCTCTTGTCTCCTCCTCCATTTTGACTTTTTCCAGGCCTGTTTGAAGCGCGCTGCCTGCATTGACGCTTTCACTGCTGCGCTGAACGCGGAGAGGCTCGCGCGAGGTGCCGCGCCCGCCCAGGCTCTTGAAGCACGGCTCAGAGTCACGGCCCCTCGTCGCACGCCGCGGGCCGAGGCCTGGAGCAGTGCCTTGCTTCGTGCCCGAACGTTGGCCTGCCCTCGGTCCCCTCCATTGGAAGCGCTGCCCCCCCCCCCCGTGCTCCCGGCACGCTGCGCGGCAGATGGGAGCTCCGGACCCGTAGGGGTGCCGAGGGTGTGCCACTCACTCTTGGCATCGCTGGGACGTGTACATTTTCCCTTCGGCGAGGACCATCGAGGAGCATCCTCGATCATCTGGCGAAAAAAAACACGCACGAAACCGAACAAAAACACAGGGAATGGACGTCCGAGCGATGGCGAGCCCCCCGTGCTCCTGGCACGCCGCGCGGCAGATGGGAACTCCGGACCCGTAGGGGTGCCGAGGGGGGGCCGCTCACTGGGTATACACCGAGCTGCTCGGCCTGAGGGCTGATCGCCGTTGGCACGACGGATAACAAGACCGGCGAGCACCGATGTGTCTTAATGCGTCCGGCCAGCAGCCTGCCCAGGCTTCAGCGGCGAGTGGCAGTAAGGTGTCCGAGCAGCTCTGCCTCGCGCGCACGAGGGCGCCGATAATGTGAGGGAGGAGGATGCATGAGGATGAGGGTGGGGAGGCAGGAGGAGGGAGGGAGGAGGACGGGGGACAAGCTGATTCAGGGAGGGGGAGAGGTAGGATGCCGATGCAGATGGCGAGGATGATGATGGTGATGTTGGTGTTGATGTTGATGTTGGTGTTGCGGATGCTGATGTTGATGTTCATGATGGTGATGCTGGTGATGATGATGATGATGATCATCATCATCATCATGGTGATGGTGGCGAGTGTGGTGGTTATGATGATGATGTTAATGATGCTTAACAATTGGTGGTGAAGGTTGTTGGTGTTGTTCACGGTCATGGTGATGAAGGTGACGATGTTGCT